TTTTTACTGGGCCGCGTTTGTATGCAACCGGGGCGCAACTGGAAAGGTGAAGATACTGCCCACTCCAGGTCGCCTTGCGGTAAATGATGCGTTGCAGTGTACCTCCGTCCCGTCCTCTTAATGATATCCAAAAAATGACAAGCAACCATGTTGTTCTATCTCTTGGGACACCGATAAGTTAGGACGAATTCAGAGTGATTAGCAGCTGCGTAAAATGTTAGCTGCTGAATACCGGAATATCATCCACGTACAGTTTCGCTTCATCAATACTGGTAGCAGCTTGCCTTTCGATCAAGCCGAGAAAGATATCTCCTAGAATCGGCTCCAGAGGACTGACCATGACGGTTCCGTCGACCCGTTTGTATACCATCCCTACAAAAAACATACATTTTCTGTGAGTAGTAGAAGCATATCCTTCAAATATTTCGCAGGGAGATCCACATACATGTTTTGGCTCAGGATGAAATGGCCCAACGCGTCAACGGTTTCCTGAATAGACACTTTTGTAAATAGAGGCCACGCCTATAAAGCGCATGAACTCCGAGCCCAATGAGGATTGTTCCAGCGTATCCGTTAGTTAAAAGGTGTCTTTCAGGCAGTGCCGACCCGTAGTCTTAAGGATCACAAACCTGACTTGTAATCCGAAGGAGCGGGTTCCAGCCTGTGTAAGGATCCAGCCAACCCTCACAGTATCCTTAACCCAAGTGCGACTGGTGCTGGTTGCGCGGCAGCTAAGCATTGGTACTGAGTACCAGCGTACTGCTGATATCTTCTTCTTCTTCTCCTATTTTTTCAGGCAGGGCGTAGCCAGAAGTTTACGCATGGGGTGAGTTCCGCCAGCCACCGAGCAACATTGTAATAGGGCGAGTTGTTCATGCAGATAATCAGACGCAGTGGGTTACCTGGCTTTTGTAACTTGGGCGCGCCCCTCATTCTTGGTGTCTGCGTCCCAATCGGTCTCAGCTGCATGTACTGCGACTCAGTGGTGTAACCATGTAGTAAGAGGACCTGAAGTTTTCTTGCCACCTGCTTCTCTATCATTATGTTATTTTCCGGTGTCCTGTCTACCAGAAAGTTAGGTGTGTTCACCAAAATAGGCCATTTCTTGAAACGTAATCATCCTTGTTCATTATTACAATGCCCAATCTTTTATCCGGCTAAAAGAAGGTTACGTGTGCCATTTCTTTCAACTCTCTGATCGCTGCATAGTGTTCAGCCTTAAGGTAACATCTCTGACTTATTAGAGTATTCGGAAATTGGTTCGCGATATCCACCAACTTTGCCCGAAACCAAGCCGCATGTTCCCTGGATCGATGAAAGATCACTGAGTTGGTCATGCAGATACTCAAAGTGGTCCTGTGTGTTAAGCTTGTCTTTCCTCCTTGGTGCAAACGATATTTCATTCCAAGCGAAAGAGATCCCAACTGCGTGCGTGTGAACTGAATAGATGATAGATTACATACGTGTTTCGAGCAGCCATTAGGGAAGGAAACATATGTAGTCCTTGTAAGAGAACCATGTAGGCTACGAACTGTTTTCGTTCACGTAGGACGGAGAACTTCTGTAGAAAATGCCTGAAATTTTAAGCCGCAGTAGTAGTAGAATCAACGGTTCAAGAAATAGACATAGAGCAAGACAAAACCATAAAATTCAGTGGATTACGGGTGGAGTCGCCGCAGTATCATCAGTATAGCACGTTAGTTGCGGGTGAGCGACACACTTAAGCTACTGTGCCGCAATAAAGAAAAACGGAAGCATTTTTGTTAATTTTCACACGCCATCTTTGTTTTTCATTTTTCAATTGTTAGGAGTTAAGTATCTGAATCTAAGCAAGTATGCACACAGATATTCCACTGGTTTCTGTTGCGAGCCATATCCTGAATTGTTTCCAGCCATCGGCACTATTCATACCGAGGTGCCCAACCAAGGAGGCGTGTGGATCCAAGGGCAGTACGACGTGAAGTCACTGATTTCATATGCTATCGTCATGTGGATGGTTGAACACCACGTGGCCTCTTCCAGTCGAGTCCTGCACGAGTAAACACAGCGTGATAGAGCAAACGCTCAGCTGACATACGCAGGACATGGCCGAACCATCTTAACTGGCACAGCATTCCCTAAAACACGACGTCTGACTTCATCTTTGCAGATACGCTGTTGCCATCACCCACAAGCAATTCTCCTTAAGCACCCATTATCGAAGGCCGAGAACCTGCGCATGTCACCTACGCGAACTGCCCATGACTCGCTGCCGTATAGCAATACCGCCTGAACTGTAGCATTGTAAACACGACCCTTAACCAAGAGGGAGACATACCGACGACGCTACAGGTGTTGCGCGTTGACAAGCGCAGACCGGGCCTTGGCAGTACGGAGAGAAATTTCTTTGCTGATAGCGCCACCAGCAGACAAGCAGCTGCCCAAGTGTACAAAGCTGTCAACATGTTCTAGCCGCAGGCCTTCAGGCGTGAGTACGGGAACGGGATAGCGACAATCCTGGAGCAACACTTTGTATTTAACCAGGGCGGAGCACATTCCGTACTTAGATGCCTCAATCGCCTAACGGTTTAAAATAGTTTGCTACTCTGCGAGTTGTCACCAAGTAGCGCGATATCATCGGCATAATCTAAGTCGGTTGTTCGCTTACACGGTAGTAGTTTCATACCAAAATGCTGGCAACCCTCCAGAGCTTTCGACAGTACGTCTTCAATCACGAAACTGAAGAGGAACGGGGACATAGGGCAGCTCTTGTCATACACCGCTAGTGACAACGAAGGACGAAGAAAGCTTGTCATAGACCCTCACTCTGCCTGAGACGTGGAGGTAGTGTGCGCGCAGGATGGTTTTGTACTTTGCTGGGACCAGGTCGATCAACCGAATAGAATGCGGCACGGATGTCCAGGAATGCAACAATGGTATGCCTCTAGTAGAGGCGGCAGTGTTCGAGGATTTGGCGAGACGTGAATATTTGATCCACACCCACGGCCAGGACGGAAGCCAGCCTGTTCTTCCTGGTGCAGACATCCGAAATGAGACTGATACCCCTGTGATTAGGGCATAAAGTGCAGGCACCCATCTTAAAAACGGCGGCTAACTGACTAGCCTCAGCAAGAAGGTACCTTTTCTTTGTGCCAGATTTATGAAAACAATGAGGTTAGCTGACTGGTGGTAACTGCGTCACCGTATTTAAACAGCTCCAAAGGAGATCAGTGAGTTGGCAGCATTGAATCGCTCCAAACGCAAGACAAACTACTGCTTTACTGGGCGAGCAGCTGCGTTCGCAGGGTAGAAAAGTGGTCAGTGAGGGCTAACTGAATTGCGAATGAAGGTTTTCGGCCCATCGATCCCAGAATCTATGTAGGTTGGCAACTGGCGAACCGTCAGCTTCGTAAATAATCTCATTGGCACCGTGCTTCCTGTGTTAAGTGGGACGAATGAGCTGGACGAGCTTGCGAGTATTGCCAAACAGGACAGCTTCCTCCATTGCGGAAGTACGGTGAGACCACCAGGCTTCGCAGTCACTGCGTATGCTTTGTTTGAGTTGCCGATTGACAACACGGCGCATTTCGTTATGATGGGACTCCGTAGGAATATTTCTGCGGCGGTCAAATAGATCCAGGGAGCGCGCGGAGATCCGGACCTTCATATGTTGTTCGGTAAGACCGCAGACGGACTGTTCTGAAGCGATCATGGTCCTCTGCATGAACGTCCAGTGTTTGTGGTGGGTCTCAGCTGAATGTATCAGTTAGGAAAGCTTGATAGTAATGCTGAACCGATGGGGCAGGTAGTGCAGTGCTACTTTTTCGGGGACGCACCGCAACACATGTAGATGTTCGCACAAGCAAAAGCATGACCTGAGTCAAGAAACGTAGACTGGGCGGATATGCAATCCTTTACACTACCCCGCCATCTTTAACAGATTGCGATGTGGTCAATCTGGGACCATGACTGAGTCGGAGATGGTGAGCGCCAAGTAGCGGAACGTCTCTTCGAATGTCTGAAGCTAATGTTCGAGAGAAACAGACGAGTGTCTTCACACAGTGTGAGAAGTCTTTTTACATTATCTGAGCGGCTCTTATCGAGCGCATGGTGACAACCGAGGTGACTTCATATTATGATAGTCAAGCAATCCGTACGTTCAAATCCCCAGCAAGAACAACGATATGGTGAAATTCATGATAAAAATCGTCCTTGACCGAGTCAGAATTGCAATCAGTTGCAGCGCAAGGTGAGACCACAATCAAGTTGCGTCTTTTCAAGCGGCAAACCACGTGGCAAAAGGATATCGGACACAAGTACAAGTCCATCCTAACGCGCACGTACACGACTGCCCAGTTGCGCTTCATGCACACCACCCGGAACTTGTTCTGTGTGATCGTCAGAGCAGCATTTCGGCTAGTTCGGCCTCTCATGTCGTTTATCAGTTCACCTGCAGTTGCGGCGACGTTTACATAGGTAGAACTAACCGTCGGTTGGCTCAGAGGGTGTTTGAACACTCGCCAAAGCGGGTGGAACAAATGATGACGAAACAAAACAGAGCACCCCCAGAATGGACCGGAGTCCGTCACCGTCTATCACCAAGTACCTTATGACAACTGGTCAGCATACGAGTCCGAAGACTGCGGTCAAGGTGCTATTACACAACAGGAACCCGATAAGGTTAGCAAAAGGTAAAGCGTTACTGATGAGGGCCTATCAACCTGTGCTATGCGCACAGAAACATTTGAGGCAATCAATTATCTTGCCCTGGTCAAGCCTAAAACATGTCGATTGGTGTGCTAATTTTCTCTTCTATACATTTGTGCATGCGGCTGACGAGAACTATCGAATTGTCGGCATATCGCCATCTGTTTTATTTCTGCTTCGATATGAGATAAGATGATCTAGGAAACCACAATGGATGGGCCCTGCTTGATAAACTGAACTGAACGGTTAGATGGTCACACGCGCGAAGGTAAAACAGGATTACAATACTAAACGTAAATAAGCAGTCGGCTCACCTTTCCGTTAAGAATTAGGGAGACGAGTATGGCCTTCTTCGCTGCCTCAATCAGAATGCAACTGAGAGAAATGGATGGGATCATAAAGCACTGTGCGTACTGTCTTCAACCTAAAAGGAAAGCTCACCAGTTCGAAAAAATGCAGCGCCCGGCTCCAGTTCTTCAGGGCACCGTAAATCATCCCACCATAATAAAAGTAGAGTAAGTAATCCTTTGCATCTATGAATGAATACTAAAAACTAATAGTGCACGATGGCCGGGCGTACACTTTTGTCAACTTCAAGAATATCCACATCCAGTATGGGAATAACGGGGTTGAACAATTTGGCTGATAAGGCGAGCTTGTACAATGAACGAGTCTAGATGAGGATATACTTGACAAAGGTCAGCATGAAGGGAAGTGAGTTGGTGTGGTGTGCGCTGTAGCTTATGTATGCCCATAATTAATGGAGCAATACCACGCGCTGCCATCCCCCAGGAAATAAGTCGATTAGTAAATTCTTGTGAAATGGTGCGTACTAGAAAAATAGAATGAAGAGAAAAGAACGGACCATATAAGGAGATGTTCCGATAATCCTGGGGGTTGCCATGTTCGAAGAATGCTATTGTTTGCATAATGATAACTTCTTTGTCCAAGTTCACCATCGACAAATATTTTGCTCGCCTGAGAAGCAGTTTCAGAAAAAACAGTCTTACAAAATAGCAGCATGAAGACAAGTGTATTTTTCAAAATCAAAGCTTTCGAAAATGCCGTCAAGAGACGCAGCATTGCGGAGCAGAAGATCCGACGATTTTTCAACTAATTCTAACAGCAAATTGAAAGCACCTTGTATTGAATAGGGGTATGAAAAATTGCGAGCTTACCACCCGTTTTGCTCACAGAGGCTGCAAAATTATTGAGCGCACCTATCAGCATAGTGAAGTACAAACAATTCAGGCGAATAAATTGTGCTACACCCAAGTGAAAACGAAGATGGAACGAGCAAGTGCTAATATGGTTTCAGTCCCGGAGACGCTGTCCTAAAAAGGAAAGGTAGATAAAGGCGGTCAAACTCAATAGCTTAGCAACGGCTTAGCCATAGTCATGCAAACATCAATAGGTTCATCAGTAATGTTGAATTGGATAGCGGAAGACAGCATCTTTTAACGTTAATAAAAATAAAACGAAGGAGAATCGAAAAGTTGTAAAGTCATGGCTGCAACGGCCGTGCTGTATCTACACACTAGATGTAAAACTGATGCGGACAAACCCAGGGGTCAAAATCTGTGGCATGCCTAGGTGGCGGTCCCAGAGCAACTCCAGGTTTTCGTTACTCTACTATTCACGAAGTGAGGTCTTTAAAAAGGCAACCAAAAACGTGGACGAGGAACCCGCGCAGTGCGCTGTAGCAAACGACGCGAATTGCTCATTGTTTACTGCAAAAGGATAGTCAGTGCCGAGTCACCGTTAAGACCTATTCAGGAACGTCGGTGGAAACGGTCTTGGATCGCTATGACGATCGTTATTATCAACACCGGAAAGAAAATCCACTGGGTTTCGTCGGACAGGACACAATGGACCGACGAAACAATGTGAGATCAAATTTGTGAATGCTGACAGTCAGCTCTCACCAAATGATACAGTGAAGTTCAGCTTAATTAGGGCGCCGGAGCGCCGCGAATTCGGCTGCCACGATTTGTCATTAGGACGATAATAAATAATGACCACAGGGAGCATGTACAGGAAACGAGTTAAGAAAGAAATGAGTAAGAGCAATTGGGGTGGAATGGCAACAGCAAGATGTAGACCGGATGCAGGAAAGCCACTGACGACGGTAACGTCCTTTCATCCACGAAGACGGCACGTACCAGCCCATCCAATTCTCGGACAAATTTCTTCATGTCTTTATGGTATATCATCAAGCAACCACCTCGGAGTCTCGTCCAACTAGGTTCGGCCACGGTGTACAATTCACGTCGAGTAAGTCGGTCAACGGGTAAACGGAGGACATGACCTACCCAACGTAAGCAATTGAGATTCAGCAAATAATCGAGACACCAGAAAATTTCTTATCAAAAACTAACTGGCAGATCTCAGCATTGCCTACCCGGTGTTCCCACCAGACATCAGTACTACTCCGAAAGCACCGGTGGTCAAACACGGCCAAGCGTTTAATGTCTTCCCCGTGAACTGGCGAGGTCTATGATCCAGGCAGTAACACCGGCCTTACCGCAGCGTTAAAGATCCGCTGCAGTGTCGGACTAATCCTGTAACAGTACTTTAGAACATGCACTGCAGAATCTATCGTTTTGGACCGGTGATGTCGCACTGGCGCCACAAGTGATGAGTTGAAGCATAAGTGTCTCGGGCTTTTACTGTACATCATGTCACTTCCTCTTCAATTCCACATGCGATGATACAGCTGCTCAAGTAGCTGAGCTTCCATCTTTGAAAAGAGCCGGAGGGAGTTCATCTGGGCCAGGGGAGAGGTGAAGCTCATGGGCAACCTTATCTTCAGATGGTATGGAAGCGTCTACACACCAGGGAGCACTTTGGATTCCAGAATGACAACTCATCGGTGCTACTGGCCAATTAAACTGTTGCGCAAAATGCTCAGATCAACGCTCAAATCGGCGTTTTTGGTAGTAGACTGGCTCGCCATTGGTTTCGTATAAAATGTAGCTTACAGTCGGCCTTTTTCCGCCAGTGGATCGGATCAGGAGGAAAAGCTTATGGAAATTCAACGAGGTGGCCCCTCGCTCCAGCTCAATGACACGCTGCGTCCACCAAACCTCCCGATTTTCCAGGAGAAGCTGTTTGGGTGCATCGTTGGTAGTCATGTGCAGTGAATAGTATTTAACGCCAGCAGGAATTGCTTAAAGGGCTTCGGGAAGTTGGAGATATCGCGCAGAAAACCAGTGGAGCACAGAACTAATGGTGAAGCTACAGGCCAGGGTTGCAGAGTTGTACATATCGCCGCGAATATGTCCAGTGTCTATCAATGTTTGCGCATGAGGCAGTCTACAGCTTTGTGGCCAAAGCATCCTGCAACGCGCGGAGAACGTTCGGGGTAGAAGGCTTAGCCACGTCAAGCCGTTTCTCGTGACTCTGCTGGAAGCCACCAAAACGTAGCGGAGTTGGCACATACCAGCGCGTGTTCCGAAGTGAGATAGGTACTAGATTGATTTCCAATCCTGCATGCAGCTCCGGCAGCGATAACCGATGGCGAGGTGGTCAGTTTGTGTCCACGGCTGGCAGCTGATAGGGTCTCTAGGTGGCGCGTTGGCGCCGGGATCCCCGAAAGCTAGTGCTCGAAAGAAAGAGGCCGTGATCGGCGCGAAGCTGTGATGGGTGATCATCGTTGTCTGTTCTGTGGATGTCATAGTCGTGTTGACCACCGAGTTCACGTTCGACAACTTCAAGTCTACTGGACTGCGCATTCAAGTCCACGGCGAGCACCACGATGTCGGTGCGGCGCTTTTTACGGAGGTCAGCCAATTGCCCATAGAACTCGCCTTTAACTGACTCCGGGCTGCAGTCTGTGTGAGCGTATGCTGCGACAATGAACAAACAACGTCTACTGGCTCCGCGCCTGGACAGCCGCATTGAGGTTACAAGTCGGATCGCGCAGAGTGGACCGTTGACAGCGATCCGGTCTAGTAAGGCGGCCTCAGCACGTGTGCTTAACACTCAATCTCCACGCCAGCATGACCAGCGGCTGCGTCAGTTGAGTCTCCAAATGGGCGCAAAGTAAAAGCGCCAGTGGAACATGCAGACGGTGAAACCAGTCGTAGCGTCCTGTAAAAAGGTCTCACTAAGGCCGTAGTTTTTAGAGTGCGAACAAGGACTCGTTGTGATCCGACCTGCATCTGCGTCCGAACAGCTTGGGAACGGGGTGCTTGAAATGGTCTGCTAACCCGATTTGGCGCACCCTCGGACCTAAGCTCCTGATCCGTATGGCAATACGCTCGCCCAAGGCGGCACGGTGTTGTGGACTCGGAAATGGAGAAGACCAAAAATGGGGGGTTTAACAAACGTGGAAGGTGATGAAACCATGGTGAGGTAAAACGTGGTTCGGCAGGTTCGTCCGCCAGCACCTCGGTCGAAGAGGGCAGTTCCAGAGTGTGAAAGCAGAGAGAAAGCGAGAGCGAATTGTTGAGACATAGATCCATAGGTTGTGTGCGCATGGTGCTTCCCGGTTGCCCAGGCCGAGGATGATGGTTGGGTTAGGGACCTCCACCCGGAGCCTTGGGTCAGAAAAGACCTAACTCGCAAGGCAGCGGGGCTATTGAGGTAAACCGCAAGGCAGCGGTGCTATTGAGGTACACCGCAAACCGTTTGGAGCCGGCTATCTAGGCGAGGATAACGGCAATCTACTCAGGGCACCCAAAGGGCCCGAGTAAAGCAGCAAGCCCAAAATTCCCTGGACTACCGAACTCGGCGCCAATCACGAAGGCTATTGATAGCGAATGGCTCATGCGCCTTCATAGAAGTCGGTAGCCATCGAGGTTGTTCATCTGCACTCCGTTGAGTACTCACTTCTGGTAGCAGAAATGAGAAGGCAATAACCCTATAGCCGATCACATTGGCTTTGACACAGCGCTGTACGAGCTGTTGTGGTATTTGATGGAGAACTAAGTGACCATCGCAGAACCCCCCAAGCTCTGAGACGCTGCCGCTGATTGTCCGCGACTGCTTAATTATCTTGCCTGCAAAGCAGACGAGACTTATTCGCAGTTGCCTCCACAAAAAAGGCATTCCTTAATCCGCAACCTGGGGATGCGCCCGATAGTGCACAACCCCGCCGAACCAATCAGAGGTCGGTTAATTCCGGAAAACAACAGTAGATTGAAAGGAGAAACGACAGCTAGAGAAGAAGTCCCACAGAAACTGCGCCATTGCGAACGGTCATTGGCCATATTCAAACGTGCTCACGAACTTTAGGTCCCCAATCTGGGAGTCGCGAGTGCCTAACGAGAGCAGCTTCGATGATGGCGCTCTAATGTATCGGATCCAGGTTTTACATTGGCCTCTTTGTTGTCGCTTCCAGCCCAGGCCTGCACTCGCAGACGGGGTACATCGTAGTAGCCGCTGGGTAGACTTGCGAAGCACGTGCCCGAGCCAGCAAAACCACTGCAATGAAATAATGTTGTCAAGCGGTCGGCGGATTTTGTAAGAATTGAAGACCAGCAGACAAACCCCCACACTGCTGTGATGCTGTCACCGAACCACAGCATTACTCCGAAACCAGTGGTGATCGAGGATAGATAGCCGCTGAACATCACTCATGCGAACGGGCCAAGTCTCGCAGCCATACAACAGAATCGCTTGTACCGTAGCATTGTAGACTCGACCATTCAGAACGAGACTAAGGTCACGATGAAGCCGCAGGTGATGGAAGTCAGCAAAAGCGCGAGAAGTGTACATTTGTCAAACCGCCGATACAAAAAGAGTACATCAAAATCCCCTACTCATGAGTACAAAAAGATTTCCAAGACAATGAATCAGTGGACCACTTAAAACGAATGCCCTGAAAGAATATGAGAAGGAGACGCACTTGGTCAGTCCTGTAACAGGACCTTACACCTGGAATGAATAATGGTCAATATAAATCATGAAACGGACATCTCCCAACTGAGCACGATGTGCAGAGAGGCCCGGGAGGCCTCACAAACAACGGTGTTACCTGTGTACTTCGAGTCCCGAAGACAGTCACCTGGGAACAATTCGAAGCCGCAGGACTCAGAGATTTCTAGGGTGGTCTCTAAGATTTTGTCCATGGGGAAGTTGAACAAGAAGAGAGAGGTTGGGCAAGCCTGTCTAACACCACTGATACTGTAGGTGAGGCACAACCTGAGGTTTGACAGTAAATGGCACGAAGAATGCTGATGTTTTCTTCAAGTACTCCCCTCTTTAGTAAGCAGACCTAAAGAGACACTCTGTCAACAGAGTCAAACGCACCTCGAATGTCCAACAATACAAGTATGGTAGGTCAACTGAACGTATGGTGTTCAGGTATTTAGCGAATCGCAGATATGTAA